GGATTGTCTTGGAGATGCGGGCTCTTTTTTGGTTCCATATGAACTTTAAAGCAGTTTTTTCCAATTCTGTGAAGAAACTCATTGGTAGCTTGATGGGGATGGCATTGAATCTATAAATTACCTTGGGCAGTATGGCTATTTTCACGATATTGATTCTTCCTATCCATGAGCATGGTATGTTCTTCCATTTGTTTGTGTCCTCTTTTATTTCACTGAGCAGTGGTTTGTAGTGCTCCTTGAAGAGGTCCTTTACATCCCTTGTCAGTTGGATTCCTAGGTATTTTATTCTCTTTGAAGCAATTGTGAATGGAAGTTCATTCCTGATTTGGCTCTCTGTTTGTCTGTTACTGGTGTATAAGAATGCTTGTGATTTTTGCACATTAATTTTGTATCCTGAGACTTTGCTGAAGTTGCTTATCAGCTTAAGGAGATTTTGGGCTGAGACAATGGGGTTTTCTAAATATACAATCATGTCATCTGCAAACAGGGACAGTTTGACTTCTTCTTTTCCTAACTGAATACCCTTGATTTCTTTCTCTTGCCTAATTGCCCTAGCCAGAACTTCCAACACTATGTTGAATAGGAGTGGTGAGAGAGGGCATCCCTGTCTTGTGCCAGTTTTCAAAGGGAATTTTTCCAGTTTTTGCCCATTCAGTATGATATTGGCTGTGGGTTTGTCATAAATAGCTCTTATTATTTTGAGGTATGTTCCATCAATACCAAATTTATTGAGCGTTTTTAGCATGAAGGGCTGTTGAATTTTGTCAAAAGCCTTTTCTGCATCTATTGAGATAATCATGTGGTTCTTGTCTTTGGTTCTGTTTATATGCTGGATTATGTTTATTGATTTGCGAATGTTGAACCAGCCTTGCATCCCAGGGATGAAGCCCACTTGATCATGGTGGATAAGCTTTTTGATGTGTTGCTGAATCCGGTTTGCCAGTATTTTATTGAGGATTTTTGCATCGATGTTCATCAGGGATATTGGTCTAAAATTCTCTTTTTTTGTTGTGTCTCTGCCAGGCTTTGGTATCAGGATGATGCTGGCCTCATAAAATGAGTTAGGGAGGATTCCCTCTTTTCTATTGATTGGAATAGTTTCAGAAGGAATGGTACCAACTCCTCCTTGTACCTCTGGTAGAATTCAGCTGTGAATCCATCTGGTCCTGGACTTTTTTTGGTTGGTAGGCTATTAATTATTGCCTCAATTTCAGAGCCTACTATTGGTCTATTCAGGGATTCAACTTCTTCCTGGTTTAGTCTTGGAAGAGTGTAAGTGTCCAGGAAATTATCCATTTCTTCTAGATTTTCCAGTTTATTTGCGTAGAGGTGTTTATAGTATTCTCTGATGGTAGTTTGTATTTCTGTGGGGTCGGTGGTGATATCCCCTTTATCATTTTTAATTGCGTCGATTTGATTCTTCTCTCTTTTCTTCTTTATTAGTCTTGCTAGTGGTCTGTCAATTTTGTTGATGTTTTCAAAAAACCAACTCCTGGATTCATTGATTTTTTGGAGAGTTTTTTGTGTCTCTATCTCCTTCAGTTCTGCTCTGATCTGAGTTATTTCTAGCCTTCTGCTAGCTTTCAAATGTGTTTGCTCTTGCTTCTCTAGTTCTTTTAATTGCGATGTTAGAGTGTCAATTTTAGATCTTTCCTGCTTTCTCTTGTGGGCATTTAGTGCTATAAATTTCCCTCTACACACTGCTTTAAATGTGTCCCAGAGATTCTGGTATGTTGTATCTTTGTTCTCATTGGTTTCAAAGAACATCTTTATTTCTGCCTTCATTTCGTTATGTACCCAGTAGTCATTCAGGAGCAGGTTGTTCAGTTTCCATGTAGTTGAGCGGTTTTGATTGAGTTTCTTAGTCCTGAGTTCTAGTTTGATTGCACTGTGGTCTGAGAGACAGTTTGTTATAATTTCTGTTCTTGTACATTTGCTGAGGAGTGCTTTACTTCCAATTACGTGGTTGATTTTGGAGTAAGTACGATGTGGTGCTGAGAAGAATGTATATTCTGTTGATTTGGGGTGGAGAGTTCTATAGATGTCTATTAGGTCTGCTTGCTGCAGAGATGAGTTCAATTCCTGGATATCCTTGTTAACTTTCTGTCTCGTTGATCTGTCTAATGTTGACAGTGGAGTGTTGAAGTCTCCCATTATTATTGTATGGGAGTCTAAGTCTCTTTGTAAGTCTCTAAGGACTTGCTTTATGAATCTGGGTGCTCCTGTATTGGGTGCATATATATTTAGGATAGTTAGCTCTTCCTGTTGAATTGATCCCTTTACCATTATGTAATGGCCTTCTTTGTCTCTTTTGATCTTTGATGGTTTAAAGTCTGTTTTATCAGAGACTAGTATTGCAACCCCCGCTTTTTTTTTTGTTCTCCATTTGCTTGGTAAATCTTCCTCCATCCCTTTATTTTGAGCCTATGTATGTCTCTGCGTGTGAGATGGGTCTCCTGAATACAGCAGACTGATGGGTCTTGACTCTTTATCCAGTTTGCCAGTCTGTGTCTTTTAATTGGAGCATTTAGTCCATTTACATTTAAGGTTAAGATTGTTATGTGTGAACTTGATCCTGCCATTATGATATTAACTGGTTATTTTGCTCGTTAGTTGATGCAGTTTCTTCCTAGCCTCGATGGTCTTTACATTTTGGCATGTTTTTGCAATGGCTGGTACCGGTTGTTCCTTTCCATGTTTAGTGCTTCCTTCAGGGTCTCTTGTAAGGCAGGCCTAGTGGTGACAAAATCTCTAAGCATTTGCTTATCTGTAAAGGATTTTATTTCTCCTTCACTTATGAAACTTAGTTTGGCTGGATATGAAATTCTGGGTTGAAAATTCTTTTCTTTAAGAATGTTGAATATTGGCCCCCACTCTCTTCTGGCTTGGAGAGTTTCTGCTGAGAGATCTGCTGTTAGTCTGATGGGCTTCCCTTTGTGGGTAACCCGACCTTTCTCTCTGGCTGCCCTTAAGATTTTTTCCTTCATTTCAACTTTGGTGAATCTGGCAATTATGTGTCTTGGAGTTGCTCTTCTCGAGGAGTATCTTTGTGGCGTTCTCTGTATTTCCTGGATTTGAATGTTGGCCTGCCCTACTAGGTTGGGGAAGTTCTGGATGATATCCTGAAGAGTGTTTTCCAACTTGGTTCCATTTTCCCCCTCACTTTCAGGCACCCCAATCAGACGTAGATTTGGTCTTTTTACATAATCCCATACTTCTTGCAGGCTTTGTTCATTTCTTTTTCTTCTTTTTTCTTTTGGTTTCTCTTCTCGCTTCATTTCATTCATTTGATCCTCAATCGCAGATACTCTTTCTTCCAGTTGATCGAGTCGGTTACTGAAGCTTGTGCATTTGTCACGTATTTCTCGTATCATGGTTTTCATCTCTTTCATTTTGTTTATGACCTTCTCTGCATTAATTACTCTAGCCATCAATTCTTCCACTTTTTTTTCAAGATTTTTAGTTTCTTTGCGCTGGGTACGTAATTCCTCCTTTAGCTCTGAGAAATTTGATGGACTGAAGCCTTCTTCTCTCATCTCGTCAAAGTCATTCTCCGTCCAGCTTTGATCCGTTGCTGGCGATGAGCTGCGCTCCTTTGCCGGGGGAGATGCGCTCTTATTTTTTGAATTTCCAGCTTTTCTGCCCTGCTTTTTCCCCATCTTTGTGGTTTTATCTGCCTCTGGTCTTTGATGATGGTGATGTACTGATGGGGTTTTGGTGTAGGTGTCCTTCCTGTTTGATAGTTTTCCTTCTAACAGTCAGGACCCTCAGCTGTAGGTCTGTTGGAGATTGCTTGAGGTCCACTCCAGACCCTGTTTGCCTGGGTATCAGCAGCAGAGGCTGCAGAAGATAGAATATTTCTGAACAGCAAGTGTACCTGTCTGATTCTTGCTTTGGAAGCTTCCTCTCAGGGGTGTACTCCACCCTGTGAGGTGTGGGGTGTCAGACTGCCCCTAGTGGGGGATGTCTCCCAGTTAGGCTACTCAGGGGTCAGGGACCCACTTGAGCAGGGAGTCTGTCCCTTCTCAGATCTCAACCTCCGTGTTGGGAGATCCACTGCTCTCTTCAAAGCTGTCAGACAGAGTCGTTTGCGTCTGCAGAGGTTTCGGCTGTGTTTGTTATTGCCCTGTCCCCAGAGGTGGAGTCTACAGATCCAGGCAGGTTTCCTTGAGCTGCTGTGAGCTCCACCCAGTTCGAGTTTCCCAGCAGCTTTGTTTACCTACTTAAGCCTCAGCAATGGCGGGCGCCCCTCCCCCAGCCTCGCTGCTGCCTTGCCGGTAGATCACAGACTGCTGTGCTAGCAATGAGGGAGGCTCCTTGGGTGTGGGACCCTCCCGGCCAGGTGTGGGATATGATCTCCTCGTGTGCCTGTTTGCTTAAAGCACAGTATTGGGGTGGGAGTTACCCGATTTTCCAGGTGTTGTGTGTCTCAGTTCCCCTGGCTAGGAAAAGGGATTCCCTTCCCCCTTGCGCTTCCCAGGTGAGGCAATGCCTCGCCCTGCTTCAGCTCTCGCTGGTCGGGCTGCAGCAGCTGACCAGCACCGATCGTCCGGCACTCCCCAGTGAGATGAACCCAGTACCTCAGTTGAAAATGCAGAAATCACTGGTCTTCTGTGTCGCTCGCGCTGGGAGTTGGAGACTGGAGCTGTTCCTATTCGGCCATCTTGCTCCGCCCCTTCTCTGGTGGTCTTTTCAAACCTTAGAGATAAGTCCACCTTCTCCCTGAGCTCTGATTAACCATTTCAGTCCTCCTTGATGAAATTTACCTCCTCCAAAAGTAGTATACAGAATTCAGCATGAAGGTCTCTGTACCTTTTTCACTAGTACTTCTCCAAGGAGAGGTACAATTAAGGGTCTTCCATGTTCTTCTAGACAGAGGCTTTGCTTTCTAGAATCTTCTATTTCACAAATGTAAGTGGAACAAAACGAATGGAAGCCAGGCAGTAGGACAGGAAGATGGGTATTGAGAAAAGAAAGGAGAGGAGGCTGAGGGCCCTCACCTGGTTGCAGACGGGCTTGTACTTGAGTCCTGGGTTGTTGAGGATCATCTCCAGCTGTCTGCGGTTGAAGTTTGACACCCCGATGGACTTGGCCATTCCTGCATCCTTACACTTCTCCATGGCCTGGGAAGGGGTTGTGAGGAATTATTTGTGCAGTTGGCTGCAGATTATGATCAATGCAAGACAGAACTGCTAAGCAACAACTGTTAAGATATGACAATGAAAATAGCAGTGATTCTCAAGAGAATCACAACGGATAACAGAAAAGGATAGTGACAGCAAGAAGAATTTGGGTATCCTCTTTAGGAAGCTGGAGAGAAAAATGCACATGGAGGGGGAGGAATACCTGTCTTCCTTGTCCCCAATTTATCTCCTTCATTTCCCACTATTCTATTTCAGTCATGTGTTCTTCCCTACCACTCAGCAAAACTTCCTTCGTCAAGCTCCTGAATTTCTAGTTCCAGTGATGCATATTCCACTGGTTGCACATGAAAGCTGGGAAACAGGTTTACCTCTTGTCTTCCTTTTCTGTACTCTGTCCTCCTAGCACTTACCTCCCATATGGCACAGAGATCCACTGTGTCGAACATTACTTTTCCATTTTCATCTTTTGGTAGTGGCGTCTCACCTGGCTGAAGTAGAAGCAGTCATTTTAATGTCACAATTTAATTTATCCACCCATAGGCTTGTTCCCATGTACATTTTAGGATAATCCACCAGGTGCTGCAATGTTCTAGAAAGTGGTGTGGGCAAAGTGTCTCACATACGGAGTTTTAAGGCATGTCTTTAGGAGACACGTTTCCTTTAATCTCCTACTTTCATTATATATATATATATATGTATAGTATATATAATATATATACACTATATATATTTATATAGTGTATATATATATAAACATTTTACAGGTTTTACTTTTATCTGCTCCTATAATTTTCTCTGGGGAAATGCCACTCTTTGACTCAAAAAGTCCTTGATATCCAGCAATAAGGGATTGTATTCTTGATCCAGGTGATACAATAAGAGTTCCTTATCCCCCTGAAGATTTGATAGTACATGAGCAGGATCTTAAACCAAACGTGGTCAAATGGAAGTTCTTTTCAATATGTATTTGAAAGTTGTAAGACCCATGGAGGCTGTCTTATGTTAATCACCATGAGCCTTGAGCTGCCTCAAAACTATCATTGCCAACAATGAAAAAGGCTGGGACAAAAATCCAGAAAACCTCTTGGAGTTCATAGATAATTATGGAGAAAAGGTCACATTTTTAGAGTGTAGGTGAAATCTTTATTCATGGCAGTGACTACCCATTTACATCATGCAATAAACTCTTCTTTAAATAAACTAGCCTGAGTTTTTCCCTATAAATTTAAAAGTTATGCACAACCGAAATTCATGACTAAGCAAAGCTACAAACTCCAGTGTGAAACAAGCTTTAGTGAAGAAGGCAACGATTCTCAGGTCCCATTATGGTTTCCTTTTTAAGACTCACCCAGAGTGAGTTCCACCAAATCTACTTCAGCTTAAAATGGGGAGAGATAATGGAAACTCACTGTACCACATGTGCAGTGATTTTTTTTTTTTTTTTTTGGCACCACAGCTGCATAAATCTCTACATCTGTGAACATCCTAAGAGATGGACTCAGGAACCCCAATTAAGACAGGGTCTTAAAGGTGGCTATCATTATTTTCTTGAGTTTTTGAAGCAGAGGCTTTTGAGGTTGATGTACTGTCTTCTGTTGTCATCATATATTAGACAAGAAGGTTTCACTATTTATTCAATAAAGCATGTTAGACATTATACTTGGGACCCTTCTCCCATGTAATAATACCTACATCCTCAGAAGCTTAATTCAACCATCATCATAAAGGATGGTCATGCTGACAACAGAAGAGAAAGAAGTTTGATCTCAAGATTCCTTACCTTGAGAGCCATTGGGAAATGAATAAGATAGAGGTCCACATAGTCCAGTTGAAGTTTTTTCAGTGAGCTTTCCAAGGCTGGTTGGACCAACTGTGGTCGAAAGAAAGTGCACCAAAGCTGCATGGTAAAATAAAGGATTGATGTTGAATAAAAACATGAGCCAATTTTATTAGTTTGCTTCACCTAATATTTAGACATTTTTCACCGTTCCAAACTGATGACCCCTGGCAAAAAATATTCCCTTTGTTTATTTTGATATGACCTACCCATATGAAAGCTATTCTATATTGCATATATAGTTAGTACAACTACTGAACAATGGAATTAAAATTTTCAATAGGTAAAAATTGGTATCAAATAATAATTCTGATTATCTGAACTGTGTTTGAGAGAAATTGTAAAGCATTTGAATAGTCTAATTTTCTCATCCATTGAACCCGATGGCTAAGAATAAGTATTCCTGTTTAGAAACTGAAGAGCAAAAAGTTGTTACATGCTGACAAGTGTTGAGCATCATTCAAGATACTTTTATCTGTTGTTTCACACTCATAGGGCTCTCTTATGTTGTATCTCCCTGCCTCCCACACTCTTCAATGAAAAGGACAATTGAGATTCAGAATAATAAGATACTGAAGAAAGTCATCCCAGACATAAGAAAAACTAAAATATGATTATAGGTCACTATTAATCTCTAGTCTAGGTTAAACCATCCTGATTTGAGTTTTTTGTTCCCAAGATCGTGGATCAGAGGCAGTGTTAGCATGACTCTCCCACTTGGAAAGACAGAATAGCGTGTAGAGATTCACAATGCAAACTTTTTCCAGGAAGCAATGCGGTAACTGAATAGGAAAACTGAACGAATCCACAGACCCTTTGAAAGAAGTGGCAGGCTGCAGCCTACACTGTGAGACAGATGAAAAACTAAGTGCCCAGAGTGTGAGAAGGGGAGAAACTGCCTCCAGAATACCCTTCCCCACCAGGGACTCTGAAAATTCAGGCCATGGGTGTAAGGCCTTAACCCTACCCAGGCTCAGAGCTGATTTAGGGAGAGGTGAGAAATAAAGTAGAAGCAGCAGTGACAAGTGCCACAAGGGTATTACCAATCTGCAGCATGGACTGAAGGAAGCCATTTCTTATTTTATCTCACAGGGGACATCAGGGAAGTCAGCCAATCTGAACTTGGGGAGTTCCGGCACATGCCACAGATCGAAAGAGGCTCCCAGCTGAATTTCATGATATTAATATTATCTCGAGTAGGGATGAGCTCCTTTGGCCGGAACTCTGGAGGAAAGCAGGAAGTGTGCTGCAGACAAATGCAGAAGCCTGGCACCTGGCCCTGCAGGTGGATGGGCAGGACATAGCTTGAAAGCCAAAGTTGCTATCTCCACAGGAAAAGCTTATGGCCCATGGCAAGTCTGAGTTCTGAGCACAGGATTCTTGGAACTTAGTTCAGTGCTCTTAGAGCACTGTGGAACTGGGATCTGCTTCTAACTGCATGCGATCTTGGTGAGGCTTACTGCCACTAGCTACTCCTTACTCCATGTGTGAACGCTTTTGTGCAGCAAAGGCAGTTATGCTCCCCTTTGGAACATTACCCCAGTAGTCTGAGCACCATCCCCTGATGCTCACAGCAGCTGTAGCTAGTCTCCAGAAAGTCAGAGTGCATACTTGCCTAACCCGGACCAAACTTGGTTGTGCCCCTCCACCCACCCGGTAGCGTAACACACAATAAATTTTTAGAAAATTTATGGCCCTGCCTGTCACCTGAGAAACCAGAATACCTCCCCAGGGCAACATAAGGGAAGTTCAAATCTCACTGCTACCACCACAGCTGGTGCTCTTTTGCAAGTGCCATCTCTTGGTTGGAGGCCAACCAACACAGTTCATCACAGAATATCTAGGTAGACTAACACTGCACCCAGCTAGGAGAAAACTTGTGTAGGATCTCAGCTACCACCATTGCCTGCAACTACCTGGCCAGACAGAAGTCCTGAGTGTGGCCATGGGACAAGTTTGCTACTATTATCACCAACATTTGAGAAAGCCAGCACATCAGGGCTATTGATAATCAAGGCATCTCAGAGTCTATGTCACTTCCCTGCCTTCCCCATGACAGCTGGAGCTGGTACCCACTGCTGGGAGACTTGAAGACAGGCCACATCACCGAATCCCTTGCAGATATTCCCCAGCACTAGTCCAGAGTGAGGCAACCTCACTGCTGGGTGGCTAGACCCAGAAGAGCAATAACAATCACTGTAGTCTGGCTCTCAGGAACTCCTACTCTCAGGGTAAGGGGATCGCATCACATCAAGGGAACTTTCCGTGGGACAAAATAATCCAGAGAGCAGGCCTTGAGTCTCACATCTTTCCATAGGTGGAAAGTTTCAGCAGACACACAATTGCAGTGCTGGGTTCAGTAGGGAAAGTCTCAACCTCTACTCACAACAGTCAAGCAGCCTTGGTGCTCATGAAAGGTCTTAGAGAAGGGGTGGTCTTTCCCCTCTTGTCCATCACTGCAGACAAAGCTAGGGCTTCTCCCAGAGGAGCTCAGCATTGGTATACCTATAGCCAGCCTTCCTGTAACATTTCAGCATGACTGCATCCCCACAGGAGGAGCACTTCCCAGGTGCAGGCTTCCATGAGCGGCAGTCATGATTTCTCCCTACTTGGAACATTTGCGTTCCTATAGACGAAAAGTGGTGCCTGTCTGATCTCAATATCCAGAACACTGGGACAAAAGAGGCTGGGAGGTGGATAGCTTTCCTGTCAGCCTGGCAGGTGAGCTGTTCAATTCCCACCTATGCGGTGTTTGGTTTTCTGTTCTTGCAATAGTTTGCTGAGAATGATGGTTTCCAGCTGCATCCCTATCCCTACTAAAGGCCATGAACTCATCCTTTTTATGGCTGCATAGTATTCCACGGTGTATATATGCCACATTTTCTTAATCCAGTCTGTCACTGATGGACAGTTGGGTTAATTCCAAGTCTTTGCTATTGTGAATAGTGCCGCGATAAACATACGTGTGCATGTGTCTTTATAGCAGCATGACTTATAATCCTTTGGGTATATCCCCAGTAATGGGATGGCTGGGTCAAATGGTATTTCTAGTTCTAGATCCTGGAGGAATCGCCACTGTTTTCCACAATGGTTGAACTAGTTTGCAGTCCCACCAACAGTGTAAAAGTGTTCCTATTTCTCCACATCCTCTCCAGCACCTGTTGTTTCCTGATTTTTTAATGATTGCCATTCTAATTGGTGTGAGATGGTATCTCATTTTGGTTCTGATTTGCATTTCTCTGATGGCGAGTGATGATGAGCATTTTTTCATGTTGTTGGCTGTATGAATGTCTTCTTTTGAGAAGTGTCTGTTCATATCCTTTGCCCACTTTTTGATGGGGTTGTTTGTTTTTTTCTTGTAAATTTGATTGAGTTATTTGGAATAATTAAGGAAAACTTTCCTGGCCTGGCTAGAGATTTAGATATCCAAAGAAATCCTGGGAAATTCATTGCAAAAATATCACTACCAAGGCACAAGGTCATGAAGCTATCTAAAGTCAACATGAAGGAAATAATTCTAAAAGCCATGAGACAAAAGCATCAAGTAACTTATAAAGAAAAATCTATCAGACTTAACAGGAGGCTTCTCAGCAGAAACCTTACAAGCTAGAAGGGATTAAGGTCCTATCTTTAGCCCCCTTAAACAAAATAATTGTCAGCTAGGAATTTTGTATCTAGCAAAACTACATCTCGTAAATGAAGGAGAAATAGTCATTTTCAGACAAATGCATAAGGAATTTGCCACTATCAAACCAGCACTGCAAGAAATTCTGTAAGGAGTTACAAATCTGGAAACAAGAGCTCATTATGCACCACAGTAGAACCTCCTGAAAGCACAAAACTTACAAAGCCTATTAAACAATAACACAAAAAAACCAAAGTATATAATAACTAAAATGATAAATAGAATAGTGCCTCCTATCTCAATATTAACATTGAACATAAGTGACCTAAGTGCTCCACTTAGCAGATACAAAATGGCAGAATAGATAATAAACCACAAACCAAATACCTTCTGTCTTCAAGAGACTCACCTAACACATCAGGATTTGTATGAACTCAAGATAAAAGGGTGAAAAAAAAAGATTCCATGCAAAAATGGAAACCAAAAGTGAGCATGAGTTGCTATTCTTACATCAGACAAAATAGCCTTTAAGGCAAAAATAGTAAAAAAAAAAAAAAAAAAAGACAAGGTCATTATATAATGACAAAGGAATCAATCCAACAGGAAGCTATTATAATCTTGAATTTATATTTACCTAACCCTGGAGCTCCCAGATTTATAAAACAATTACTACCAGACCTAATAAATAAGATAGCAGCACAATAATGGGGACCCAATACTCTACTGTACAGCACTAGTCAAATAATTGAGACAGAAAATCAAACAATGGATTTAATTGTACTCTTAAAAAATGGACTTAACGGATGTTTACAGAACATTCTACCCACCAGTTGCAGAATATATGTTCTTCTTATCAGCACATAGAACATTCTCCAAGATAAACCATATGATAGGCCACAAAACAAGTCTCAATAAATTTAAGAAAATCCAAATTATATCAAGTATCTTCTCAGAACTAAGTGGAATAAAACTAGAAATCAACTCTGAAAGGAACCCTCAAAACTACAAAAATACATGGAAATTAATCTGTTCTTGAATGTTTTTGGGTTAAAAAAATCAAAATGACAAGTAATTTTTTGAAATAAATGATAATATTGACACAGTTCTCAAAACCTCTGGGATATAGCAAAAGCAGTGCTAAGAGGAAAGTTCATAACATTAAATGCCTACATCAAGAAATCTGAAACAGCACAAATTCACAATCTAATGTCACACCTCTATGAACTAGAGAAACAGGAAGAAACTAAAACCCAGGCTAGCAGAAGAATAGAAATGACGAAGATCAAAGCAGGACTAAATGAATTGAAATAAAAAATTACAAAAGATCAATGAAGCTAAAAGCTGGTTCTTTGAAAAGATGAACAAAATTGAGACCATTAATGAGATTAACCAAGAAAGGAAGAGAAATCGAAATAAGAACTCAATTAGAAATGAAACTGGACACATTACAAATGATACCACAGAAATACAAAACAATCATTTGAGACAACTAAGGATACCTTTATGTGCACAGACTAGAAAATCTAGAGTAAATGGATAAATTCCTGGAAACATACAACCCTCCTAGATTAAATCAGGGAGAAATAGAAACCCAGAAAAGACCAATAACAAGCAGCAAGATTGAATCAACAACAACAAAAAAATTGCCACCAAAAAGTCCAGGTTCAGGTGGATTCACAGCTGAATTCTGCCAGACATTCAAAGAAGAATTGGTACCAATCCTACTGAAACTATTCAAAAATATAGAGAAAGAGGGAATCCTGCCTAAATTATTCTATGAGGCCAGCATCACCCTAATACCAATACCAGGAAAGGACATAACAAACAAAAACAAAAAGCAGAAAAAGAAAACTGTAGACCAATCTCCCTGATGAACACAGATGCGAAAATCCTCAAGAAAATACTAGCTAACCAAGTCCATCAGCACATCAAAAATATATCATGATCAATGGGTTTCATCCCATAGGTGCAGGGATGCTATGATATACACAAGCCAATAAATATATCACACAAAGAGAATTAAAAACCAAAACCATATGATCATCTCAATAGATGCAAAAAAAAAAAAAACAATAAAATCCAGAATCCATTTATGATTAAAAATCCTCAACAAACTAGGCATAAAAAGCATGTATAACAAATCCATAGCCAACATCATACTGAATGGAGAAAAATTGAAAGCATTCCCCTGAGAACTGGAACAAGCTAAGGATATCCAATTTTTACCACTTCTGTTAAATGTAATACTGGAAGTCCTAGCCAGAGTAATCAGGCAAGACAAAAAAATAAAGGGCATCCAAATTGGAAAAGAGTAAGCCAAAGTATTGCTGTTTGCCAATAATATGATCATATACCTACAAAACCCCAAAGCCTCATCCAATAAGGCTCCTCTATCTGACAAATTCAATGAAGTCTCAGGTTACAAAATCAGTTTACAGAAATTAGTAGCACTGCTATTCAACAACAACCATGCTGAGAGTTGAATTAAGAATTCCATTTACAACAGCTGCAAATAAAATCCCTAGGAATATGCTCAACCAAAGAGTTGAAAGATCTCTACAAAAAAATACAAAACACTGCTAAAGGAAATAATACATAAACAAATGGAAACACATCCCATGCTTATGGATAGAATCAATAGTATGAAAATGACCATATTCTAAATTCACATGAAACCACAAAAGGGCCTCAATAGCCAAGGCAATACTAAGCAAAAAGAAGAAATCTGGAGGCATTTTATTACCAGACTTCAAATTATACTACATGGCTATAGTTACACAAACAGCATGGTACTGGTATAAAAAATAGGAACTTAGATCAATGAAACAGAGAACCCATAAATCAGGCCAAATACTAATCTTCGTTCGACAAAGCAAACAATAACATAAATTAAGGAAAATAACCCTATTCAATAAATGGTCCTGGGACAACTGTCAAGACACGTGTAGAAGAATAAAACTGGAAGCCATCTCTCACCATATGCAAAAACCAACTCAAGACGGATCAAAGACTTAAGTCTAAGACCTGAAACCATAAAAATTCTAGAAGATAACATTGGAAAAACTCTTCTTTACATTGGCCTGTACGTTGGCGTCAGCAAAGAATTTATCTCTAAGACCCCAAAATGCAAATGCACAAAAAGCAAAAATAAATGGGACCTAATTAAACTGAAAAGATTCTGCACAGCAAAAGAAATAATTATGTGAGTAAACAGACAATCTACAGAATGGGAGAAAATTTTTGCAAACTATGTATCCAGCAAAGGACTATTATCCAGAATCTACAAGGAACTTAAGTCACCAAGATAAAAACAACCCTGTTGAAAAGTAGGCAAATAACATGAATAGACATTTCTCAAAAGAAGTATACAAACAGCCAAAGAACATATGAAAAAATGCTCAACATTACTAATAATCAGGGAAGTACAAATTAAAATCACAATATCACATCACCTTCTGCAAGAATGGTTATAATTAAAAAGTTGAAAAAACAGAAGTTGGCATGAATATAGTAAAAAGAGAACACTTTTACACTGCTGGTAGGAATGTAAATGACTATAATCACGGAAAACAGTATTGGAGATTCCTTAAAGAACTTAAAGTAGATCAACCATTTGATTCAGCAGTCCCAATACTGGTATCTAACAAAAAGAAAATTCATTATATGAAAAAGACACATACACATGTTTATAGCAGTACAATTCACAATTGCAGAAATATGAAACCAATCCAGGTGCCCATCAACCAATGTATGAATAATGAAAATGTGGTATATATATATACATCATGGAACAGTGTGTATATAAAAAGGAATGAAATAATATATTTTGCAGGAACTTGGATGGAGCTTGAGACCATTATTCTAAGTAAGGTAATTCAGGAATGGAAAACCAAACACTGTACATTCTCTCTTTTAATTGGGAACTAAGCTATGAGGATGTATAGACATACAGATTATATAATGAACTTTCAAGACTCAGTGTGGGTTAGGTTGGGAGTAAGGTAAGGGATAAAAGCCTACATATCGAGTACAATGTCCAGTGATCGCCTGACAGCTTCACTTAAATCTCAGAATCACTACTATAGAATTGATTCATGTAACCAAAATCAACTTGTATCCCCAAACCTATTGAAATTAAAATATGAATTCATAAAAAAATTACACTGAGCTGAGGCTCAACACTTAAAGTAATTTTCAAGTAATAAATTTGAACACAATAATGATGAGAAAGGCATCATCATTCTCTGCCTTTTATTTCAGTTTTAATACATGAATATGTGTGAATAAATTGGAACTAATAAGCACAATTCACCCACAAGTACTGAACCAGTTACAGAATTGTCATCTCCACACGATCACATTAAATACAGGTGCATGCAAGCTCATCATAGGCACAGTACCTTTGAAGTGTAGAATATGTCTTCTCTCTTCACACTGCCGTCTGCAATCTTGCTTCGGATGGCCAGTCCAACTTGCTCCTCATTGTTGTATAAATAAGCAGAATCAATATGGCGGAAGCCAGCTTCTATTGCCAATTTGGTGACCTCCACAACTCTGTTCCTCGGAACCTGAAGGAGCAACGGAAAGTAGTAGTTGGTGATTAGTGTGCTTGAGAGGTAGTGAAACAGGAAAAGTTCCCTTGTCCTCACAGGGTGTGCGATGGGGGTGTGGTCAGTGCTCCGCTGCTCAGACCTCTAGGGGAGCATACAGATGGGGGCAGGGTGTGGGGCTCCGAGCCCGCAGCAGTGTCTAGGTGTGGATGTTTACAGCTTCTGAAGCCCCACTGGGCGTGTGTTACAGGGTGCTCTTTCAGTTTTGTTCTTTTAGTTTTGCCATCTACAGGCTTGTGTTAACCAGCTCAATTAGACCCTCTACCTTGTTGCAAGGACAGAGGGGCTTTCTGTATCCTGGATTCTTGCTTTGCTGCACCGGAAGGATCGGATAACACCTGGGCTTGGAGAATGAGTGCAGGGTTTTATTGAGTGGAGAGTGGAGGTAGCTTGGGGGAAGTCAGAAGGGGATGGAGTAGGAACGTTTTCCCCTATCAGCAGCCTGGATTGTCTTTTGACTGCCTCAGTCATTCAGCGTCATTCTGCTTCTGCCAGTAGGTGGCCCGCTGGCGTGCTGGTGCCTTTTGGTGAGTTTCTCTAGAGGTCCAGCGGCCTGTGTGTGTGTTCCTCTGCCGATGTGCTCCTCTCAAAGTCCATCCGGTTCTGTCTCTGCCTTTCTAAGATTTGGGGTTTTTACAGGCACAGGATGGGGGCATGGCAGGCCAGGGTGGTCTTGGGAAATGCAACATTTGGGCAGGAAAACAAAAATGCCTGTCCTCACCTAGGTCCCTGGAGGTGGAGCCCTAGCCAGGGACCACATCCTCCTCCACCCAGCACTTCCCTTCCGCGCTTCTGTATAATTTAAAGAGACCACGCTCTTCCCTTCCCAGCACTTCCGTATCAGTAGTTCAGGCACCAGCAATGACCTTCACAAAAATCACATTATCCTCGTGTCTTGGGTTAGTTCTACATGTGGAGTGATAAACCCATCCCAATTTGCTTTAGTCTTTCCTAGTTAGTAATAAAGATTGGGTATCCCTGGACCTCTTCAGTCCCAGGCAATTACTGGTTAATCACTAGCATGAAGTTGCCCAACAAAAACTTCAGATTTAGTCATTTCTTGGAAAAATTAACAAGACTCAACTTATAGTTATTATTTGAGACAGAGTCTCACTCTGTCACCCAGGCTGGTATAAAGTGGCACAACCTTGGCTCACTACAAAATCTGCCCCCACCCCCACCTTCTTCACCTTGGGCTCAAGTGATCCTCCCACCTCAGCCTCCCAAATAGCTGGGACCAGACAGGCATCATGATCCCGGTTAAGTTTTTGTATTTTTGGTAGAGAGAGGATTTCACTATGTTACCCAGGCTCAAACTCCCGAGCTCAAGGGATCCACCTGGCTTGCCCTACCGAAGTGCTGGGATTACAGGCATGAGTCACTGCATACCCACTTCTAATTATTTTTTAATATAGTGAAATTAACACATGGAAAAAGGCACACGGAAGAAATTATGGTAAGAATACAGTGTAAGTTCCTATGATTAGTCTCTCAGTGATGTTTCAGGAAACACACTGACTTCCTCCAGCAATGTTGACTACAAGGGATGCTATTTGGAGACTCAATTCCCAAGATTTTAACTGGGTGCTGGTTACATTGACCCAGTCTGTATAGCACCCACCAAACTTCCAGTCTTGTAAAGAAAGCAGGTATACAGAAACCCTACACTTTGTACAACCAGTTAATTATAGACAGCACCCTTATCAGTTAGGAAAGGGTGAGAAATTCAACTTCTCAGATACCAGCCAGGCTCCAACTTTGAAAACAGGTGCATCTACGGGTGGCAGTCTATTGTGTTGACTCCTTTCTACACAGTCATTAGCCATTCAGTGTGCATGACAGAATTAAATACTAGGAGTAAAGACATATACTCCAAGTATGTAGATTTATAGCTAAGAAATTAACTGCAACCTGTGAGAGATTAGTAAAGTACGCTTTATCCCTAACAAATAAGATCAACTCTTTTAGGAATGATATAATTTCAGTGAAATTTAAAATTATTGACTTATCTACCAAATTTGGATAAAGATTTTAAAGGTATATTTTTTAAATGACAAACCCATAAATGAAACAATTTTCTATTTTAATATAAGTATTTTGGAAGCTTTCTTTTTCTAGTGAAATTAAAAGGAACTAGATGCCAGGTCTCACTGCCTTCCCCTATACCAGCCCTGATCTTCTCTTTGCTGTGCAAGCACTCAAGGTTTACCAAAGCTAGAGCTTCTGTGTTGTGTTTTTCCTTACTTCCCCTTCATGCCAATTTGCATTACAAAGTGAACCACTCCTGTTGATGGTCTTCAGGGTGTTTCTCTGTAAATTCTTACAACATATAGTTGACCAAATTTAGACACAAATTTTATGTGACTAGTCCTTGTTAACACACTTAGTAGTCTTGGAATACAAGTTTTCCTCCAATGTAGAAATAGCTCAGTCTAGAAAAAAAGTCTCCATTTTGCCCACTTCTGTGTCAGAGGACCACCCCTATCATTTTGATACAAATTTCTTAAAGTTATTTTTCCCGTCAGGTAATTTTCCTAGAGTTGAGAGTTGTACAGGGTATTAAGTCCAGGACCAGTATTACTGTGCCATGCTCAAGGCCACGCAGCAGCTCAGCAATACTATCCCAGCGGTTTTCATACACCCCATCTTTAGGCGCTGTTGCCACAAAGGTTTCTTTTGATCATGTCTAGTGGAAGAATAAAAGATTTCTTCAACCACAGAAATAAATGAGAAACCATTCTCACTGCAGTCATCTCCTACAAAGGGAACGACCAGGCAGTGTTCTTCACCGTTGAGTTTTATATACTCTGCCAAGCTGGGCAACACACAGAAACAGCAGATAAAAACAGTATACAAAATAAGCAGTAAATTACTGAATGACAGACCTCAGTGCAAAACGAACATTGACTACCTTTTCTCTTTGAACGTAGAATAGCTCTAGCCTAGTAAGACAGACCAGATGAGTCACGCAGAGTAACGGAAACACAAAGCTGAACAACCCAGGTCATCGTCCACTTATGCTAGCTTTGCTCTTTTAAATGCTCAATGCTGAAAATGTGATTATTACCTCTGGAGGTGCATAGGAGCCAAATCCCAATACGGGCATGAAGTGACCATCATTTAGCGCCACACGCTGATATTTGGGATCCATTGCATGTCACTTCTTTCGCTATGCAGATCCTGTGTCCTTCGTCAACATCTGGTATTTATATTCAGGGGTTATATAAACAATGGGCAGGCAATGTTGCACTGCTCCCTGGGGCTAATCAATGAAACGTAGGAGGAAGCAAGTGACAGTGTATTACACAAGATGTGAAGAAAATTGAATCCGGTTCACTTGTTTCTTATCAAAGAGAATTTTTAAGCACATTATTATATAGTGAAAATAAAATATTTTTTCTAAAGTGAAATTTTCTATTCAGAATCCATCTATCTATATATAATAACTCATCCAACAGATTTATAGAATGATTGGTGATCATGTTAGACTATAAAATAACTCCAGCTACAAATCTCATTTTTGTTAATGCCATGATGATATCTCATCTTTATCTTCTGTCATTTGAAATAATCAACCATCTTACATCTTTCACACAGACAGTATTCAAAAGAATGACTAGTGAGCATTTTTTTAAAAATGATGACCCTCAATAAAGAAAAAAACCAAAGAAAATTTCTCTTTTTACATTTTTCATCAGCAAATTAATTTTGTTTCTTCTTTCTTTTAATTGTAGTAGGAATTTTCATTCCTGATGGAGGTGCAGTGCTCATGATGTGGCAATCCTGCAAAGGTTCAAAGGGAAAAGAAAAATTCTGACACGATGTTTATTGGAGTATTAATTATTAACAGTGTTTGGACTTTGGACATAATTTACAATATGCAAAGAGTGCTTAAATAGTATTTTCCATCCAGTTTTATAAGAAACCAGCAAAAGTAACTTCCCAAAACACTGATAACTATTTTATATAATTTGTGATCTTATTAAATATTATAAAGAAAAAAGTAATTAAATTGGTGAGTAATCCTCAGATGGCATAATTTTACTTGTTTTTCCCGTTGGAGGACAGATTAGAAAATGATGATTAGGCTGGGGGCAGTGGCTCATGTCTGTAATCCCAGCACTTTGGGAGGCCAAGACGGTAGGATTACTTGAGGTCAGGAGGTCGAGACCAGCCAAGGCCAACATGGTGAAATCTTGTCTCCATGAAAAATACAAAAATTAGTCAGGCGTGGTGGTAGATACCTGTAATCCCAGTTACTCAGAGGCTGAGGTGACAGAATTGCTTAAACTCAGGAGGAAGAAGTTGCAGTGAGCCAAGAATTTTAAGAATAGCCATTCTGACTGGTATAAGATGATATCTCTATGTGCTTTTGATTTGCAACACCCTTTTTGCTTCTATTCACTTCTTCCTAAAAGAAACAATAAAAGAAAATAATTAGGTAAATTACTACACATTGAAGCAATGGAATATAATAGAGCCATTTAAAATTTTCACACAGAGTGTCATCAGCAGGATGGTGGATTAGAAAGCTCTCAAATCTCCCATGGAATTATAAAAAAAAATCTGAAATGAACTAAAATAAACTATTTATAGAGTGGCTCAGTAGAGATGCAGGGTGACGATAGATGCACAGATGCCACTGGCAAGAGATTAGGGGGAAGAGACACACAATAGGCCATCTACGGCACTGAGGAGAAGCTGAGCTGTGAATTTTTGACATGATAAGGTATTCAAAAGCCACTGGGCATTTGGAGAAATCAAATAGGGCACACACAGTCTAGGCAGATGCATATTCAGAAAAGAACTGAGAAGACCTTAAGTTTTCATGTAGAGCTGACGCCGAGACTAAGAATATGCCAAGCATATTAGCTGATTATTGTCATGACACAGAAATAATATAGATTGTGAAATGTGGCTGTTTTTCAAATGTGCAATAAAAACAATAACAAAGCTACAAAGAAACAGGAAAACAGCGTTGATTATGAGGAAGAAAATAAGCTGACAGAAACTGTGAAGAATTACAGTTGATATTAGCATTGATATTAGTAAAGAAAGACTTTCTGATTTTTATTTCTTATTAAAATCTTAAATCATTTTAGATTAAATAGGCACATGTGTAAGTTTGTTATATAGACACGTTACATACTGGTGAGGTTTGGGCCTCTAGTGTACACATCACTCAAATAGTGAACATTGTACCCAATAGGAAGTGTTGTAACCTTTGCCCCATCTCCAACTTTCTCCCTTTTGAAGTACTTGATGTCTATTTCCATGTTTATGTCCATGTGTACCTATTGCTTAGCTTCCCCTTATAAATGAGAATATGTGGTATTTTGTTGTGTTTCTAAGTTAGTTAACTTAGAATAATATCCTCCAGTTCCATCTATGTTGCTGAAAAGGATATAATTTCACTCTTTTTAGTGGATGCTTAGTATTCCATAAGCATATATGCTTAGTATATGTATGTACATTTAGTGTATATATATATATATGCATATTAGTATGTATATGCACATTTTGCCTTCTTTCTACATCCATACTGATATTTGTTGTTTTTTGACATTTTAATAATAGTCATTCTGACTGGTGCAAGATGATATCTCAATGTATTTTTAATTTGCATTTTTCAGATGAGTATTAAGAACAGTTCCCTGTATATTTGTGAGCTGCTTGTATGTCTTCATTTGATGAATGTCTGTTCATGTCTTTTGCCTAGTTTTTAACAGGATTGTTTGTTTACTTGTTGGATTGAGTTCCTTATAGAATCTAAATAAAAGTCCTTTGTTGGAGCCTAAATTTGAAAATATTTTTCCCATTCTGTAGATTTTCTGTTGATTATTTCTCTTGCTGCCCATAAGTTTTTTAGTTTAATTCCCATTTACCTGTCTTTGTTGCATTTCCTTTTTGGAGTCTTCATCATTATATCTTGACCTAGCTCAATGTCCAGAAGAGTTTTCCCAAGGTTTTCCTCTAGGACATTCATAGTTTCAGATCTTCCTTTGTAGGTCTTTAATCCATGTTGATTTAACTTTGCCAACGGTAAGAGATAGGGGTTTAGTTTCATTTATTCTGCTTTGGCTAGCCAATTTTCTCAATACCATTTAATGATTATAGTGTCCTTTTCTCATTGTTTGTTTTTCTTTAACTTTGTCAAAGTTCAGTTGGTTGTATGTTTGTAGCTTTATTTCTAGGTTCTCTATTTTATCCACGTGTCTACTGTTGTACCAGTACCATGTTGTTTTAGTTACTATAGCCTATTAGTATAATTTGAAGTCAGGTAAAGTGATACCTGTGACTTTGCTCTTTTGCTTAGGATTGCCTTTTGATGAAATTTAGATTTTTTTTTTTTTTTGTAATTTGAATAATGATGTTGGTAGTTTGTTAGGAATTGCATTGAATCAGTAGTTTGCTTTGGGCAGTATGATCATTTTCATGATATTGATTCTCCCAATCCATGAGCATGGTAATCTTTTTATTTGTTTCATCCATGATTTTTTTCATCAGTATTTTGTATTTCTGCTTGTAGAGATCTTTCACCTGCTTAATTTTATTTATATCTAGATATTTTATTTTGTTTTTGTCTATTGCAAATGGGACTGAGTTATTAATTGGGTTTTAGCTTCAACATTATTGGTGTATAGAAATGCTACTGATTTTTCTACACTGATTTTGTATCTTCAAATTTTATTGAAATGTTTTTTTCAGTCAAGTCAAGCAGTCCTTTGAAGCAGTCATTATAGTTTGATAGGTATAAAATCATGTCGTCAGAAAAAATTGATCATTTGAATTTCTCTTTTCCAACTTGGATGGCTTTTGTTTTTTTCTATTGCATGGGTTCTCTGGTGAGGACTTCCAGTTCTATGTTAAATAAGAGTGATGACAGTGGACATTCTTGTGTTTTGCCAGTTCACAGGGGGAATGCTTTCAACATTTTTCCCATTCCCTTCCCATTAGGAAGATGTTGGCTGTGGGTGTGTTATGTATGACTCTTATTATTTTGAGATATGTCTTCAATACATAGTGTGTTAAGCGTTTTATGAGAAAGAAATGTTGGATTTTATGAAATGCTTTTGTGTCTCTTTCGAGATGATCATATGGTTTTTGTTTTAAATTTTGGTTATTTGGTGAATCAAATTTGTTAATTTATGAATGTTGAAACGTCCTTTATTCCTGCATTAAAACCTACTTGATCATGATAAATTATCTCTTCGATGTGCTCTTGGTTTCAGTTTGGTAGTATTTTGTTGAGAATTTTTGCATCCATGTTCATCAGGGATATTGGCCTTTAGGTTTCATATTTTTGGTATCAAGGTGACACTTGTTTCCTATAATGAGGAATATCATGAAATAGCTTCAGGAAGGTTTGTTTTGGATCTTTGTACATCTCATAAAATTTGGCTGTGAATCCACCTCGTCCTGGGATTTTCTTTGTTCTTGCTCTTTTACTGATTAAATGTGCTTGCTTATTATTAGTGTGTTTAGAATTTCTATTTATTTCTGGCTCTATTTTGAAAACTTGTGTATTTCCAAAAATTAAATCATTTTCTTTAGGTTTTCTATTTTGTGTGCATGGAGATGTTCATAGTAATATTTGTTAGTTTTTGTGTTCTGTTCTAACAGTTGCAATGTTGCCTTTGTCATTTCTGATTTTGCTCATTTGAATTTTCTCTCTTTCTTGGTTAATATAACTAGTAGTCTATAATTTTGTTAAACCTTTCAAATAACCTTTCAAATAAATATAAATAAATAATAATTTAATTTAAAAGATTAAATTAAAAATTAAATTTTTAATTTCTTTGATTCTGGCATCGTTGTTTTAGTGTCAATCTCATTTGGTTCTCCTCTAATGTCTCTTATTTCTTCTTCTGCTAGCTTTGGGTTTGATTCTTGTTTGTTCTTATTTTTCTAGTTCTTAGAGGTGTGATATTAGGTGGTTAATTTGAGATGTTTCTGTCATTTTTTTTTTGGAAATGGATTCTTGCTCTATTGCCCATACTAGAGTGAAGTGGCACGATCTCAGCTCACTGCACATTCTGCATCCTGGGTTCAAGTGATTCTCGTTCCTCCGCCTCCCGAGTAGCTGGGATTGCAGGCACCCACCACCACACCCAGGTAATTTTTGTATTTTTAGTGGAGATGGGGTTTTGCCATCTTGGCCAGGCTGGTCTCAAACTCCTGACCTTGTGATCCACCCACCCTGACCTCCCTAAGTTTG